TCTACTTACATTTATGTTTCTAATACGTCGATCACTGAAATATATTTGGGAAATGTGAACTGGAATGCTGGTGATAGTTTTAACGTTTTCCAGATCAATTTGGATTGTTATTTAGGTAGAATACATGTGTTTTGTAGGACCCTTGTAGATACAAGAGCCTTGCAAGCAAAGGTAACGAGTAATGGTCAGATACGTTGGATAAACCATACTCGTTGAAATTTTGAAAAATTGAAGTTGTAGATTGTTGTTCCTCTTATTTGCTGTTACGTTCCATAGATGTCTATCAAATCAACTCGAAGAATATGAAATCTCAGTTAAACAGTACCCGGATAATTGAAACTCAACTGCAACTGAAGAACAAACTGTAGACGGAGAAGTTGAGTGGTATAACGTCCATTCTTCGTACAAATTAGCTTCTATTTGTAACCAAATTCTACTTATAATTCGTCTGAATTGCGTAACACGCCCAAGGTTTGGCCACAGCTGCGAATGGTATTGAAACAAACCCAACAATGAAACCGCTGCCAGTGGCAGATGGCTACGCTTCTGTCATTTCACGTGAAACGATCGGAATCCGGCGTAAAAAAACTACGCACGGTACGCTGATTTATTTCGCACAGTGACGTTTGTCGTAATAAACTCTCCCGTTCGCGTCATTTACCGCGTAAATAGATTTATTACCGATAAAAGCTTGCGCCGTTTACAATATTACCAGTTACAAATTAATGCGAAACAATGAACTGTAATCGACGCCAATGGGATCGTTTCAAGCTCCCGTTGTTTCATACTCGTAAATGTTTATGTAGATGAAAATTAATTACACGCTCTAATAGAAAATTTAATTCCAACAAACGACAGCGTATAGTGCGGTTCGCGATGGAAATCGATGTTCGTCACGTTTACGCGGTTTCAAACTTCGACACACTGACGCTGGTGTTTAGGTTTCTTTTAACTTCACCAACCTGAAATATCTCGACACGTTTTTTCATTTCTATAGCTACTTCATATTGTGTCTTATATTGAAGTTATATCACTAATAGTAAATTCGATATAGTTGAAATAGATTCAAAACAGGTAGTTATACTATTAATTTTGTATCTTTCGGATAAAGTCATTTTTATTAGTTCTAGAATAATATAAATAAGTCAAAAATGAAGAAAATGTGTAGGTTATATCGTACATTCACAAATCTCTTGTTCTTCGTTTTGCATATAGGGAAGTTGCCCGAATAATCTTCTCTTTTCTCATTACTGGGCCATCTTGGTTTTTTCTAAAGTAATTTGTTTTAAATAGAAACACGCTGGTGTTTAGGTTTCTTCTAACTTCACCAACCTGAAATATCTCGACACGTTTTTTCATTTCTATAGCTACTTCATATTGTGTCTTATATTGAAGTTATATCACTAATAGTAAATTCGATATAGTTGAAATAGATTCAAAACAGGTAGTTATACTATTAATTTTGTATCTTTCGGATAAAGTCATTTTTATTAGTTCTAGAATAATATAAATAAGTCAAAAATGAAGAAAATGTGTAGGTTATATCGTACATTCACAAATCTCTTGTTCTTCGTTTTGCATATAGGGAAGTTGCCCGAATAATCTTCTCTTTTCTCATTACTGGGCCATCTTGGTTTTTTCTAAAGTAATTTGTTTAAATAGAAACACGCTGGTGTTTAGGTTTCTTCTAACTTCACCAACCTGAAATATCTCGACACGTTTTTTCATTTCTATAGCTACTTCATATTGTGTCTTATATTGAAGTTATATCACTAATAGTAAATTCGATATAGTTGAAATAGATTCAAAACAGGTAGTTATACTATTAATTTTGTATCTTTCGGATAAAGTCATTTTTATTAGTTCTAGAATAATATAAATATGTCAAAAATGAAGAAAATGTGTAGGTTATATCGTACATTCACAAATCTTTTGTTCTTCGTTTTGCATATAGGGAAGATGCCCGAATAATCTTCTCTTTTCTCATTACTGGGCCATCTTGGTTTTTTCTAAAGTAATTTGTTTAAATAGAAACACGCTGGTGTTTAGGTTTCTTCTAACTTCACCAACCTGAAATATCTCGACACGTTTTTTCATTTCTATAGCTACTTCATATTGTGTCTTATATTGAAGTTATATCACTAATAGTAAATTCGATATAGTTGAAATAGATTCAAAACAGGTAGTTATACTATTAATTTTGTATCTTTCGGATAAAGTCATTTTTATTAGTTCTAGAATAATATAAATAAGTCAAAAATGAAGAAAATGTGTAGGTTATATCGTACATTCACAAATCTTTTGTTCTTCGTTTTGCATATAGGGAAGATGCCCGAATAATCTTCTCTTTTCTCATTACTGGGCCATCTTGGTTTTTTCTGAATTAATTTGTTTTAAATAGAAACACGCTGGTGTTTAGGTTTCTTTTAACTTCACCAACCTGAAATATCTCGACACGTTTTTTCATTTTTATAGCTACTTCATATTGTGTCTTATATTGAAGTTATATCACTAATAGTAAATTCGATATAGTTGAAATAGATTCAAAACAGGTAGTTATACTATTAATTTTGTATCTTTCGGATAAAGTCATTTTTATTAGTTCTAGAATAATATAAATAAGTCAAAAATGAAGAAAATGTGTAGGTTATATCGTACATTCACAAATCTTTTGTTCTTCGTTTTGCATATAGGGAAGATGCCCGAATAATCTTCTCTTTTCTCATTACTGGGCCATCTTGGTTTTTTCTGAATTAATTTGTTTTAAATAGAAACACGCTGGTGTTTAGGTTTCTTTTAACTTCACCAACCTGAAATATCTCGACACGTTTTTTCATTTTTATAGCTACTTCATATTGTGTCTTATATTGAAGTTATATCACTAATAGTAAATTCGATATAGTTGAAATAGATTCAAAACAGGTAGTTATACTATTAATTTTGTATTTTTCGAATAAAGTCATTTTTATGAGTTCTAGAATAATATAAATAAGTCAAAAATGAAGAAAATGTGTAGGTTATATCGTACATTCACAAATCTTTTGTTCTTCGTTTTGCATATAGGGAAGATGTCCGAATAATCTTCTCTTTTCTCATTACTGGGCCATCTTGGTTTTTTCTAAAGTAATTTGTTTAAATAGAAACACGCTGGTGTTTAGGTTTCTTCTAACTTCACCAACCTGAAATATCTCGACACGTTTTTTCATTTCTATAGCTACTTCATATTGTGTCTTATATTGAAGTTATATCACTAATAGTAAATTCGATATAGTTGAAATAGATTCAAAACAGGTAGTTATACTATTAATTTTGTATCTTTCGGATAAAGTCATTTTTATTAGTTCTAGAATAATATAAATAAGTCAAAAATGAAGAAAATGTGTAGGTTATATCGTACATTCACAAATCTTTTGTTCTTCGTTTTGCATATAGGGAAGATGCCCGAATAATCTTCTCTTTTCTCATTACTGGGCCATCTTGGTTTTTTCTGAATTAATTTGTTTTAAATAGAAACACGCTGGTGTTTAGGTTTCTTTTAACTTCACCAACCTGAAATATCTCGACACGTTTTTTCATTTTTATAGCTACTTCATATTGTGTCTTATATTGAAGTTATATCACTAATAGTAAATTCGATATAGTTGAAATAGATTCAAAACAGGTAGTTATACTATTAATTTTGTATCTTTCGGATAAAGTCATTTTTATTAGTTCTAGAATAATATAAATAAGTCAAAAATGAAGAAAATGTGTAGGTTATATCGTACATTCACAAATCTTTTGTTCTTCGTTTTGCATATAGGGAAGATGCCCGAATAATCTTCTCTTTTCTCATTACTGGGCCATGTTGGTGTTTCTAAAGTAATTTGTTTTAAATAGAAACATGTTAATTCTCTTTATTTTAACTAGTTGAATGTAGAAATTGAGATGTTGTAAATGACTGACGTTATTAATTTTTGAAGATAACAAGTTTCATTTGACCTTCTCTTTTCCCTTTACTGGGCCATCTTGGTTTCTTCTGAATTAATTTGTTTTAAATAGAAACATGTTAATTCTCTCTATTTTAACTAGTTGAATGTAGAAATTGAGATGTTGTAAATGACTGACGTTATTAATTTTTGAAGATAACAAGTTTCATTTGACCTTCTTCTCTTTTCCCTTTACTGGGCCATCTTGGTTTTTTCTGAATTAATTTGTTTTAAATAGAAACATGTTAATTCTCTCTATTTTAACTAGTCGAATGTAGAAATGAGATGTTGTAAATGACTGACGTTATTAATTTTTGAAGATAACAAGTTTCGTTTGACCTTAACTTTTCAATCACTGTTACCATACTGAACAAGTGTAGAAAGCACAATCGTGGAATTGTATTTCGTATAAATAACGAATACTTCTATTAGAAACGATATTATTATGCATTCATTGAACTCAAAACAATCGAATCTGTTGCTTGATTTTGTTTAATTTTTGATGATCGATATAGTAATCGAACCAAGGTTCAGGTTAGGTCTGGGTTAGGTCTGGGTTAGTTACTATTAACACTTTACCGACCAGTAGCGGTTGATTAATCGGCTATCGGTCGGTAAGCGTTGGTCGGTAAAAAAGTTGATTAATACGCTATCGGTCGGTAAGTGTTGGCCGGTAAAAAAGTCGATTAATAGGCTATCGGTCGGTAATGTGTTAAGTCCATGGGATAGGTTGCACTACAACGGTCTCGACGATAGCTATTACAAATTATTGCATGAAAAATTTGACTGATATCAACAAAATAATTTGTCAAACCAATAAAGTGATTTATTCAATGCAACACGTGAATTTTGATTCGTTTATTGTGGTACACATTTTGTTCCACGATTCTACGATTAGCGAATAAAAGATGAATATCTCTATTTACTGACTAATGCGTCCATGTAATAGTTACCTAGTATTTTTAAAGATTGACAATTTTATTAGAAATTCCAGTGAGTAGTAATTAATGGATTTTGTTTGCCTGTTCGTAGAAATTGCAGACGATCAGCGAGGATTTCTGTGGTCTGGACGTGAACACGCCTCTGGGAGGCGAAGACGCCATGAACGCGACCTCGGTGCTTACTTTCGACACTCATCTCACCGCGGTAGCTGCTACATCCACCGGAGACTACACCGTCGTCTTCCTGGGCACCCGCACAGGTCACCTGAAGAAGGTCAGTGCACGATACTCTTTATCTCGTTGATCGAAGAAGCGCGAGACTCGTTCGAACGGTACCACCCGTTTCATTAAGGGCTTACGCCATCTTGTCGGCGTCGAGAACCAGAGAGCCAAGGTATTCGACACGTATGGCCTAGCAAAAATTAAACAGCCATCTATTAACCCCTTAACGTTCACATTTTTCGGGTGGATCAACAATGATCAGCTTTCTTTATTGAACTTCTTTCTAAGCTGTATCAAAATGCGATTTTTGTTAATTACAATGTTGCATCCATAAGCTACAAAATTCACTAACGATCCTACGAGAAATAGACTGATGCAAGAAAGTTTTAAACTTATTAAAAGACATTAAAGTATACCAATTGGTCTAAATATGATCAGTTCCACTAGGTAACCCAATTGTGGTCACTAATAACCAAGGTGCATGTGACCTAAAACGCTCAAAAAAATGTTGCATCTAACGTATAATTTCAAGGAAAACAAGTATTGTCATCCCTTAAATTGATCCATTAAACAAATATCATTTTTCAAAGCAGTCAGACTCGGGCATGAGCGTTAAGAGGTTAAAGGATAATTCAATTTATTCAATTTGATTAAAATCTAGAATTTTTTAATTGGTATTCGGAAACATTTGTAACCAATATGGCCTAACCAAGAAATATTGAGTAATTTATACGAACACGTAAAATCTATTCTATACGTGTTTCGTGTGACTGTTTTTTGGTAAATTCTATTGCAATATGGAAATACGTAAATTTGAAGAATATTTCGTGTTTTGAGACGTTCAAACATTGAACCCATTGTTTACTAGAAGTAGAGGAGAGTATGTTGGTACAGTCAAATTATCTGAACACTAGATATATGTCAATCAAATAGAAAAATATCTATCAAGTTTGTTACTTCAGTGTTCATAGTTTCGTAGTTCACTGACATTAGTAGCTTCTATTTTGTTAATTTTTAATTTATTTAATTAATTTTATTCTTTATTGAACTATTCGTAGATAAGGTAAACTTGTTTTTTTTATTTTCATTCTACGTACTACATTTTTTTTACAATGAAATGTTTATATAGTCATTGCTTAAGAGGCAAGTTGTTTCCCTATGGAGCACACTGTTACAATGTAGTATTTTATGGTTGACTAAAAGAAAAGCTCTATAAAGGAATATAAAAGTAGTATAAATACACAAACATAAAAAGGAAAATTATACTACTAAATGTGGATAAAGAACATAAATTGTGCAGAACGAAATCTCCGACGTCATAAATAAGTCGTAATAAACCAAGAACGATATTAGATATAAATGTCTCATTTCCTTGGGAACTGGACAATCTGGGTTATAAATCTGACATTAATGAACAAATGTAATTTATGACGGCGAAACGCGTGGAAACGTATAATGTCTTAAATTGTAGACACAGAAGGCTCTTATTTCCAAAATGGTACTAAAATATATTAATTAGTGAATGTTAAAATTTATGAAATAAAAATGTTAAGTCGTAAAGATATTTCGTTCTGAACAATACCATATCTAGATATAGATTCTAGAAGTCAAAACAAGACGAAAATCAAGAATATCAATCCCTCGATTGAGGCTTCGTTAAAAAGTTATTAACAAACTAAATTAAAACATTTCAAATCATTCTGAAAAAATTATTTTTGGTTGTGGAAATCAATTACAACCATTTGTGGTGAATACACATACCCCCGAAATCCTACGCATTTTCAAGAAAAAAAATTCGAGAAGCCTAAATTTTTCAGCGGAAAAAAAATTTTTCAAATCGTTCTAAAAAAATTATTTTCGATTGCAAGGGTCGATTACAATCATTTTAGGTTATTACATATACCCACGAAATCCTACGCATTTTCGAGAAAAGAATTCGAGAAGATGCCTAAATTTTTCGGTGAAAAAGAAAATTTGCATATCGTTCTAAAAAAATTATTTTCGATTGCAAGGGTCGATTACAATCATTTTAGGTTATTACATATACCCACGAAATCCTACGCATTTTCGAGAAAAAAATTCGAGAAGATGCCTAAATTTTTCGGCGGAAAAAAAATTTTTCAAATCGTTCTAAAAAAATTATTTTCGATTGTAAGGGTCGATTACAATCATTTTAGATCATTACACATATTCCAGAAATCCTACGCATTTTCGAGAAAAAAATTCCTTACCGAAAATATAATTTCAGGCCAGAAATGGCACTCCAAAATTTCGTGCGTATCTTTAAAACGTCATAACTTTTGAACGGATTGAAGAATTTCAATGTTTCAAACGACAATTAACGCGTATTTTAGTGTCGAATATGTAGAAATTCTAGCAATATTGAAAAACTTATTCCTTGACCCCGTAAAGTGAGAAAAACCCCATAAAAATGGTCCAATATTCAAACAGCCATAACTCGTACAATAGTGAATGTATTTCAATGAAACTTTTTTCTGAAGTAGAGCGCATGGATACCTACAAAAAAGTATAATACAACTTTTTTATAGGGCGTGTAACAAAATTACTAAAATTCGAAAACGAATTTTTAAGAAACATCGACACGGGGGTCTAAATTTTTTGGTGAAAAAAAAAATTTCGAATCGTCCTAAAGAAATTATTTCTAGGTTCTGTGGTGCGATACAACCATTTTTTGTGAATACACATACATCTGAAATCCTACGCATTTTCAAGAAAAAAATTCGAGAAGTTGTCTAAGTTTTTCTACGAAAAAGAAAATTTTCATATCGTTCTGAAAAAATTATTTTCGGTTGCGGGGGTTAATTACAATCGTTTTTGATGAATAAACATACCCACGAAATCCTGCGCATTTTCGAGAAAAAAATACAGTATGGGCGGAACTTTAAACGTTAATAACTTTTTAACGAAGCTTTCATCAACAAATTGGTATTCTTGATTTTCATTTTATTTTGGCCTCTAGAGTCTTCCATTAAAATTTTTCCCAGAGGTAGCCGAACACCCTGTGTATGTTATATTATTTTAGAGATTTTTAGGTTAGCGAACATGACTTTCATCGATCAAAATCGTTTTTTTATACGAATTTCGTCACTCTATAAAAAGGGCTAAAATATTAAGCAGTGATGTTTATTCAAGCATATAGTTCCGTTCTGTTAACGATGAACGACCATTTTGAATTTTAGTGAATTTTAGTTGAACGATACAGAAATTCGAAAATATAATGTACAAACATTTGGTGAGGAATATAATATAGTATTACGATATTTAATCGATATAAAAGTACAAATACAGTATTTACATAAAATGGGGAACAGTATTTGTTAACTATTAATTTTAAAATAAATTTTTGCAAACACTTTCTGATCGAACAAAATTAATCTCGATTTGTCAATGTTTCCTCAATTACTTAAATCATTTTTTATTTTTATGATTTTTCAATAATCTTAACAAGTTCCAAGTAAACTAAATTTCATACAAAAAATATTTCAATGTTTTTCAAATGGCAACGATTGCATCAATTCACAAAGCAAATAAATTAAAACAATACTATATCTCTATAATTCTATTAACTTAAAAAGAATTTTAGATAAATATCATTCGCCCTGATATTAATTTTAACAAATCGAAAGCGAGTAGATTTTATAATTTTATTAAAGAGTGAACATAAAATATTCGAATTGTTTGTTGAAAATGTCACCCATGGATATTATTAAATATTACAGGGACGAAAAATTCATCGAATCTTTCGTAGTTATGTTTATGATAAAAATTATTCTCATCCAATTGAACGAATACGTCATTGGTAACTATTTTATATAATATTTTCGAGGTTTCAAACTGTCGTTTCATAAAACAGAATTTCTACATTTTTCCGTTACAAATATGGCGTAACCCCTTAATCCGACCTTGCACGTTCCGCGTTCCCTTCGCGCGAGTTTCTCGCAATCTAATTCTTCCATAGCGACATCCGGACTCGTTCTCCGTACTTTCCTGCTCTCTGGCCTTTTGTGAGCGGATAGTCGAGTATTTACAGTTGGGCGAGTACTCGCACCGCGTTCTAGTTTCTCCTACCCGTGCGAGGGGTTGCTACCCTCTTCTCTATCAACGATTCCCGAGTCACTACGAATATAGAAACAGAGATACCTAACGAAGAAAAAGGGAAAGTGACAAAGAAGTTCGAAACTCGTCGCTCGACTAGTCGTCAAAAGTTTCGATCTGGGTCATCCGACTCTTCCATCGAAATCACTCCTTCTCGGTACCATTTATCACGAATCAAATAACGTAATATCTTCCAGAACTCGCTCCACGGATCCCACCGATGCGTTATCGACGATTTCGAGATAAAAATTTTCTTAAGCATCGCGAGTCTCGTGAAAGAGTTGTTAGGAATCAGAACGATATTCAACGAAGTTGCTCGACACGTATTACGGCGGGAAAGTTTATGGGATGTTCGACGCCGCGGGAGAACAGTAATGAAACGGAAAGGCGGATACCGACGAGTAGAACGTTTCGCAATAAATGTCGTACCACTTGCGTTACCTTCGCGTTCATTTTGCGCCGCGGTAGCAAACTTCAGAAATTCCTTTCACACCAACACCGGCGGCGAAACTTTTGAACGCCCGTGTAACTTGAACGCGTAGCTCGATGAGTGAAGCGGAACCACATTGTCCTGTCGTGGCGGTACCATTACCTCCCCGAGCCAGTCTCTCGTGCTCTCTTTCGCACTGGACATAATTAATTCCCCAATTGGTCCCGCGGTGGTGAAAGTAATCACAATAGATATTAATGAAAACGACAGAATCGGGTCTACGGCGAAACCCGCTTTCCGCCAACGTTCCATTAGCCTCGGTTCAGGTAGCCATTACGGGATATCGTTGGCGCGCGAAGCGTTAACGGGTCCGCGTTGCTAATGGACGGGTCCACGGCTTCGCGAACTTTGGCAGCCCCTGAACTCGTGCTCGAACTCGACGGATCGAATGGCAGAGGGATCTCTGCGGACGCCCACGCGCGATCGGTAAATTAATCGCGATCCAC